ACACACACACACACACACACACACACACACACACACACACACACACATATATACATACGTATATATGTACACACATACGTACTCGGGTTACTATATATATAATATATATATAATTTCCTAGCAACTACCGCATACTGAACGCCTGCTGTGCCAGGCGCCCTGCGGGCATCTCACGTGCCCCTCACCGCAAACCTGAGGTCACTACCACGGCCACCTGTTCGGGAGCCACTGCAGGTGCACTGCTTGAAGCCAGGAAGTGCCCTTAGCGGGAGCGACTGCGGGTTAACCGACCTGATGGGAGGACGTGCTCAATCTCGAGGCGGCATCTCATCCCCCTTTTCTTTGCAAGAGCCTGGTCTGACAACACATAAACCACTTTCCCAGGAAACAACGGAATAATATACTCCGGGCCCTCTGACGGCACATGGAGTTTCGCACCCCGGGTCCTGGTGTCTTCACCTGGGAAATTAGTCTAGAACTCATTCTAGAACTAGTTCAAGACTCAGGTGTGGGGAGATTCTGAAATGCCTGGCACGCGGTCAGCACGCCCCTGGCTGGAGCTGAGCTTGCAGGCAGGCAAAGGAGCCCGTTGCGCCTTCAGAGCTCTTCTCTCCGGGGTAAGCTGCCGTCGCCTGCGCGTGCGGACGGGCGCGGGCTCGCGTTAACACGCCCGTTGGGGGCCGGGGCCGGGGGCGGCCCGGCTGGTGCAGCGTCCACAGCGCCAGGTGCACCGCTGCACCGCGCGCTTCCGGAGCGGGCTGTTAGCACCCACGGGGGCCAAGAAGCAAACCACCTCAAGAAATTGAAGAATTGGGAGTCACAGGGAAACTGGGCCAATAAAGGAAGACAAGTGAAAAGGTAGTATTTTATTGTCCAGGATAATTTTGGTTAGACACGATTTTTGCCCTCAGAGCTGATGGAGAATGGGACTCCACTACCCCATAGTCCAGTTGGTTCGCTGTATTCAGCAACGCCCCAGGTTTGTTTCTAGGTTGGGTTTAAATATTTACGTAAATTCCAGTTAACATACAGCATGATATTAGTTGCAGGGGTACAGTGCAGTGATTCTCCCTTATTTTTAATGATTTTTATGACATTTACCTACGCCCGCTCCGGTTCCTCAGAGATAAAGCAATCCACCTCCCATTTGCTTGCGTGTAACTGTTACTTTTCATTGGGGTGATTGTTCATGGGCCGGTGAGGCCCCTGACAAAAAAGATCTTCCTCTCCCAAACGGGTCCTTGTTTTCAGCTCAGAATGAGTAAGAAGGATTCCCAGTCATACCCTCACGTCCACCTCTCCCCGCGCACGAAATGAACCAGAGTTCAAGGGTGGCCACAGGGAAAGGGAGGGGCTCTTTCCACCCTGCCTTGCGGACTGGGCGGTGCAGCCTCACCTCTGTGGGAGTAAAAACGAGGAGCACGCGCTGCGCTCAGGTGGGACGAGGGCACAGGACCAAGAGCCGGATCTCGAAGCCGTGCACCTGAGCGGCTTTGATGGGAGCGGCAAGCTGAGCACCCCTCCCCTTTGGCCCCGCGCAGGCGGCCGGCTCCTAAAAAGCCAAGCCCCTTAGCGCCCCGGTGACCTTTTCACCGCCTGCAAAGTACAGTTTGTGCAAAACTCGGATGCTGGACGAAGCACTGGTATAGGTTACACCCTAAATGGTGGGATATACCTTTCGTGGGGCTTTTAATGATTCAAAAAAAGATCATGTTACGGATTGTTTTGGCCAGATACTTTTCAGCATCCATCAACGGTCCTTCCATTGGTAAATAAAGAAGATCAAACTACATTTCTTTTAAGATGAAAAGTTTATTTTGCCTTCTGCCTAGAAGCAAAACTAGTGAAAATTAAAGTATAAAAATAAATACAATTTACATTAATGGGCATTCCACTCAAAGTAAAAGTAACAAAAATAATGTATATAAATTAAAAATCCATCAAAAGCACAAAACGATGTCTGGCACTTTTATGAGGAAAAGCTGTGAACATTAAAAGATGTGTAAAACACACAGGCTTTTATCTTTAAAAAAAACAACACTCAAGTTTGTCAACCTTAATCTAAAGCTAGTTTTAACTTTCTCCAAAACAAACTATTTTTTTTTTTAGCTAATTTGCATTAGTGCACACAAAATTTGGAAGTATCTGTCTTTCTGGAAAGACCCACAATGATATGAGTAAGCTGTATCCTGAGTTTTCAGAATGATAAAGCACAATTTATCATATTAAGATATTTTGCTATACTTTATAAAGAATATATCAGTAACTCAGACATTTTTGACCGCCTTCTGATTTCCTGGCTCACTCACTCAACAAATGATACATCTCAATAAAGAAAATCAAGTTTACACCCTGGGTAGATTATTACGGTCTACAGCTGGATGTAATAGCTAACTTTTAAATAGGGCCGAAAACTGGAGAAAACAATCTTTATCTCCACCTTCTTCAAAGGATATTAAGAATATATACAGTCTGCATTTTCAAAATACCAGTATCATTTTAAAATTCAAGTTAGAAAGAGTAAATGTACACAGTCCCGATTTTATGTGAGAAGCACAAAGCCCTTTTTGGAAATGGTATGATAAATTAACAGTGGCATTCACTTTCATAAAATCATGTTCCCTTGGTAACATTTTTTGGTTTATATTTTAAATGAATATGTCAGTGATGAAAACCTTAAATGCGTAACTTCACCTTGACAATATTCCTGTTCCATCTGCAAATCTGAACTTGTTGTTATATAGCCCTTTAGTCTCTCCTAAATCAAGCAAGCTACAAAGAGCAGACCATGAAGAAAGACAAGACGCAGACCACCAAGAAAACAGAAGCGCATGCAGTGTTACTCTATTTTACAGAAATGGATGCACTGATTCACTCCTAGGTGCTACTACATTCCAGAAGATTGTGCTATCTCCCCTAATTTTTTACCCTCCATAGAAAGATTTTATGATTTAGGAGAAGTGTTTCCAAGAGTACTGGGGTAACATACATTAAACCTAACATATCTGCACAAGACAACTAGCTGTTAAGAGGAATGAACTTTTGATCAAAGCAGTGGCCCCCAACCACTTCTATGGTAAAGTTGGGGTGGACCACAATCAGCAGGCGAGTGTTTTCTCCTATGTGGTTATCCCGTAAATCCAAGAATATGAAGACCGAGAGATTAATCAGTTTTTAAAGTTACATAAACCAGGAGAAAAACATCCTTCTGCAGTAATTTCCCCTCAAATACAACAGTATCTAACTTATCAAATTTAGCAATCAGTATGCAGAGATGAATGAAATTTATATTTGAGAACTTAATTTGTAATTTATCACACCTTTTTGACATTTTATAGAAATAAATCCAAATGCCCTTTAAGTTTACAAAAACGTTCTCTGCAGACATCTGGCTACAGAAAACAAACTTAGGTTTGTACAGGTTAAGCAAAGAGATGGTCAATTACTAAATACTAATGTGCCTTCACCCAAACCTAACATTAAGAGGAAAATGACGGTGTAGGGAAGGAATTAACCAGACTGATCAAGTTGCCCAGATAATTGCTCAGCCCTTTGATGTCACTTTGCCTGTGTAAACAGTCCAGGCTTAAATAAAAAGTCCTGGGCAGGGAAAACCGTATGCATGAAACCTCCCATCCACCCCTTGGTTATCCTAACGAATGTTGTCTTCTTAAATTGTCGCAACATTTGGCCGCTTTCTTTGGGTTTTTCCTGCATATGCTCCTAAAAATAGAGCAAAACTAATATTATTTCTCAATGTCAGTTTTTTTATAATACCGTTTAATGAGTGTTTACTATATAATGCCAAGCACTGAGCTAGGCAATGTACATTATTATATTTAATCCTTACATAACATAATCCCCAGGTAGAAACTTACTACTATTTTAAGAATACAGCCGAGACATGGGCGAGGAAGTCACTTGCCTAAGTAACAGATACTCCGAGAACCCAGTTACACCTGATTTGCTGTTTGACCCAATAACCACTGTGCCATACTGCTTCCGACTCTGCTTTAATTAGTGGTTTCTGAATGTCACTATAAACTCCTGAGTCAAGCACCAGACATCAAATGAGCCAAACAGGTCTTAAAACATACGATCAGTGATTGCAATTGAGTTTGTAAGAACTATAAACTTTAAGTGCTCTGCAGCAAGCTGTAAGCCCTTGGCATTCTACTGTCTGTCATCACAAAAAAAAACTAGCTTTCTATCAATTGCTTAATAAACATTCATTCTCCATGCGGATCAAACTAAAGCATAAGTTTCAAGTTTGTTTGTAACACAATCCAAGCCACTAAGAATCTAAGCAGGAAAGAAAAATCTTTTCAACTGCAACTATGGGTCCCTGGGTTGAGATTCATACTTAGAATCTTAATCAGTCATACCACAATTTTTCAATTTACATACAATGATAAAATCGTTAGTCTTTTTCAATTGTCTAGGCACTCAGGTATAAATAAATCTTTAGAAAAATAGGAAAGAAATTTTGTACTTGTTTGGATACATAGTAATTGTACATGTTCATTTAAGAGTTAAGTTCATTTGTATTTATAATTATGTTGCAATGCAATTAAACCACAATAGTTCTAAACATTGAACTTGAGGACACGACTAACTGCACTACTCCGTTCCTAATGTGACTTCCTATTCATCCTTCATACTGTTGAGTATTACTTGGCTCTTTTTCTTACAAATTCACAAGGGACAAACAGTGGAGATGAAATGCATGAGACAAGAACATGGAGAGTAGTCACTGTGGCAATAAATAATATCACGCAAAACAGTACTAACTCCTCAATCAACTGCCAGCTGGCCAGAATTTATCACAATATGTGACTCTAATATGGGAAAAAATTGAAAATGTCTTGAAATCCCACATAACTTCACAAGCCGCAGATCTGGTGTTTGCTTGGAGTTCTCCTAGTTACCTTTCAAACCAGTTGATTCTGACCACCTCTGGAGGAAGCAGAATCCTCAA